TCCATACTTCACAACCTTAACATGCTGATTATATTCTCGTATTCTCATTGAAAGATTGCACTCTGCTTATGTTAACAAAGACAGATTCATTTTGTGTTGAACAACATTTATGATTGATAGTTATGTAAAAAGTCATGTATACAGTGGCATACCTCACACATCTATAATACCAAACGTATATTTTCATACACCTAAGTATCAAATTTCCCTACAATACGAGTTACACTAGCAGCTTTTGACATATTGCCTCAAGCATGTACGCTGTTACTTTTAGTAACCTGCACTAGCTGTGTTCCAAAATTATTCATCAATAGTTAAGGTAACGTGCTGCCATCTGTGCGCGGTTAGTTTCAACATAATTTTTACTGTTTTATGAAATAAATGTTCTCCCGGTGGGACGGTGGCAATTTTAAGGACTTACAATGCTAGAATCAATGGTTCGATTCCCAATAATGGTCACAGCAGGTAGTTTAATGTGTCTTGCTTTAAAACAAACTGTCAAACAGCCAAAATCAATAATTACAGGCAAAATATAGCTGAACTAGGCTATTCAGCCATAATTTTTCATACTAGAATTATTATTCGTTCTTTCACTAAGTTGTACATCAATACACCTTCAATTTAACTATGGCTACATATAGTTTGGAACAAGAAATGTACAATATCAGTTCAGAATCCATAAAATACTCTATGACTTTATACAAGTTGATCCATCTGTGTCAGATGGCATGAGAGCAAAGCAAACATAGGTAATTTCAATGAAATAAGATCTATTCTATCCAAAGAGCCACCCAATTGACTTTCTGTACACGTGGAGAACACAACCCCTTCTATGCACATAGACGAGTCATTCTCAGCTAGGTGTACAGTAACGTCTTTTTTTTATAGGGAGCCCCATGGCTGCCCAAGCTAGAAAAAATTTAAAACATCTCCCAAGGTGAATGTCACGGTGATGGTGATAATTAGCTACTGTCTTTCAGTCAGTGATGGTAATAATTAGCTACTGTCCTAACTAATAAGTGTGTAGTGATTGTTTAATGTAATTCATACTGGTATGTTACACCACTTGGTAAACAAATATTACTAAATCTTTTCAATTGTTGGTGACCATCCTAACTGTTTTATAATTTAACCTCAGTCATAACAACAAGGAGGTTGTCGGCAGTGAACCGATTCTCCACGTGCTTCCTCATTCGTCACTTCCATCTCCTCATCAGCTGAGCTGTCTATGTGCTTTCTTATTGGCCACTTCCATCTCCACATCAGACGAGCTGTCTATGTGCTTTCTTATTGGCCACTTCCATCTCCACATCAGACGAGCTGTCTATGTGCTTTCTTATTGGCCACTTCCATCTCTTCATCAGATGAACTGACCACATGCTTCCTTATTGGCCACTTCCATCTTCTGCCTCCTCATCAGCTGAGTTGACCACACACTTTTTCATTGGCCACTTCCATCTCCTCATCAGATGAGCTGTCGATTTGCTTTTTTATTGACTACTTCCATCTCCTCATCAGATGAGCTGTCAATGTGCTTTTTTATTGGCTACTTCCATCTCCTCGTCAGATGAGCTGTCTATGTGCTTTCCTATTGACCACTTCCATCTCCTCGTCAGATGAGCTGTCAATGTGCTTTCTTATTGACCATTTCCATCTTCTCATCAGATGAGCTGTCTATGTGCTTTTTTATGACCACTTCCATCTCCTCATCAGATGAGCTGTCTATGTGCTTTCCTATTGACCACTTCCATCTCCTCATCAGATGAGCTGTTTAAGTGCTTTCTTATTGGCCACTTCCATCTCCTCATCAGATGAGCTGTATGTGTGCTTTCTTATTGGCCACTTCCATCTACTCATCAGATGAGCTGTCCATGTGCTTTCTTACTGGCCATTTACATCTCTTCATTAGATGAGCTGACTATGTGCTTTTTTATTGGCCACTTCCATCTCTTCATCAGATGAGCTGATCACATGCTTCCTTATTGGCCACTTCCATCTCCTCATCAGATGAGCTGACTATGTGCTTTTTTATTGACCTCTTCCATCTCCTCATCAGATGAGCTGTCTATGTGCTTTCTTATTGAACATTTCCACCTTCCGCCTCCTGATCAGATGAGCTTATGTGCTCTGTAATGGTCTCGTCATCCTGAGACACTTCAGTTTTGACTTCTGCCCCCTGGATAAGCCAGAGCACAAAACCTTCATCTTTAACATGTGGTTATCCACGTGCTGATTGCTCTTGCGCACTTCCTATGAATGCTAGATCTCAGAGTCATAGTGTAAGTTTGTTTAAGTAATAGCTGGAAACCATTCCAATCAGGCCTGAATGGCCTCCATATTGCACCACTGCTACATCAGTTTCCAAGCTGAAAAGTCCTTTCCTTGATAGTTTTCCATATGACTGCTTTCTTACTTCTTGAGATGCATCTACCATTTATATTGTCAACCGCACCTGTTAGACTTGTGAAGATTACGGTACTGTTGAACTAGGAGGTGAACTGTATATGACGTCTACAGGGAGCGTCGTTTCCTGCCAAACATAAGGTTAGACTTACAAGTAGTGATAAAAATCACGTTAAAGTTAACTGTAGAGGTTTCTTTCGTGTGTGTGTGGTGGGGGGGGGGACACCTACAGTTAACGTGATTTTTTTTATCAGAAGCCTAGGTCTATTCATTTCTTATGCTTCACCAGGTTACTGCGCTTTTAAACAAGTAAACAACCAGTCAGTCTCCGCTACGTTACACAATACACCAACATGATACACAGCAGCGTTTGACTCAATCGGATTGACAAACCTTTCTAGGGTTGGTAGCCTGCATCGCCCGTTCTGCTGTACGATCTGAGTAGGTGTGGTATGGTAAAGCTTTTTACTGTACGTTACGGTTTGTGTTTTAGTGGAATGCGCCTGAAGAAGTTGTAAAGCGAAACACTGAGCGTCAAATTAACGAAAAAAAAAACACAACTAGATTTGGCTTTGTAAGGTCGTTAATTTCTAAGATTAATATGCTACAAAAATTAAAACAAAAATTACAAGGTTTCTTTAAAAGTATTTCAACATCAACCTAGTGAGCCATGAGTGCTGTATTATGTTCAGAAAAAAAGGTTTAGGAAATTCACAAACACGAATGCGTTAATTCGGATCATGCTCAAATCAACCTGAAATCAAAATTCGCATTTTTTAATACTTTCTATGCATAGAAGTTAGATCTCTTATTTTACTGAATAAATTTCGACTCTAAAGTATTATAAAAATGTGTGGAACAAAAAACTAAAAATTTATTTCCTATAAATGTTTAAATACAATACAGAATGCACCGATACAGGAGCAGTAGAGTTAGAAACAAGTTGTTTAAAGCCACTATAGTTCGGTATTAGATAACAAATAAACTTTACAATAAAAGTTACGGTCACAGAGAGTCTATAAGGACATAGAGAGACAATAAAGACATAAAGAATACATAAGGACATAGAGAGATAATAAAGACATAAAGAATGCATAAGGACATAGAGAGACAATAAAGACATAAAGAATACATAAGGACATAGAGAGATAATAAAGACATAAAGAATACATAAGGACGTAGAAAGACAATAAAGACATAAAGAATACATAAGGATGTAGAGAGACAATAAAAACATAAAGAATACATAAGGACGTAGAGAGATAATAAAGACATAAAGAATACATAGGACGTAGAGAGACAATAAAAACATAAAGAATACATAAGGACATAGAGAGATAATAAAGACATAAAGAATACATAGGACATAGAGAGATAATAAAGACATAAAGAATACATAGGACATAGAGAGACAATAAAGACATAAAGAATACATAAGGACATAGAGAGACAATAAAGACATAAAGAATACATAGGACATAGAGAGACAATAAAGACATAAAGAATACATAAGGACATAGAGAGACAATAAAGACAAAGAATACATAAGGACATAGAGAGACAATAAAGACATAAAGAATACATAAGGACATAGAGAGACAATAAAGACATAAAGAATACATAAGGACATAGAGAGACGATAAGGACATAGAAAAACAATAAGAACATAGAAAGACAATAAGGACATAGAGAGACCATAAGGACATAGAAAGTCATTTCTTGAAGGAAAAACAACAAAGTTGTGGACGGTGTAGAAGCAAGGTTTGTTTACTATGACTTGAACAGCGTATAATCATACACAACATGAAATAAGGTCGTGTTTTGTCCGACATTTCATTAATTCAAAATATTGGCTGCTAATTAGTCGTTGCAATTAAATCAATATATTGATTATTAATTTACAACTAATTTCATCACAAATGTATGCGTAAATTCACGAACTATTCAAAAACATCAAATTTTCCAATCGTTCACATAAACTTAGTAAACTGTTTGTCGGTGTTAGAGTGCATACAAAATCAGACATTCAACAAATTTTTATCTAAAAAAAATCAAATGTAACTTCCTATTCAAATTTTCCGACAAATCAATTAGAAGCCAACATTTTGATGCTAGATAGGTTTTTGGAACTTCAATTTTTTTCTGCTAAGAATTCCTAATATAATTTCCTTTTTTATTTCTTTAGATTTTTAGTTAAATAATAAGTCGCTCTTTAAAGTTAGAATTAACGATAAGACCTACATCGGGTTTTTAAACAAATTTGTTTAAATGAATCATGTTGTTTATGGACCCACTTTTTTGTTATAACGTGAGAAACACATAAAACGTATCAGATGAAACATGAATATTGTAATTAATCCCGTTAATTATTTATATTTGTTGATTTACATTTTATTTTGAAAAGATTCATAACTAATCTTCTAGTAGTGGCTACCTTTTATACCGAAACTCTTTCTATTTGAGCTTTCAATTATATTTTCTCTGAGAATTAAGTTGTTTAATAGGAAAATTTTGTTACATCCGACAACTTTAGATATATTCCTTGAGTGATTGTTAGAACAATTTAATTAAAGAAAACAAACAACGTGATGATAGTAATACTTGGTTTGAATACAATCCGTTTAAAATGACCGGATGAATGTAAAACCTCACTTTAAACTTCCATTATTTGAAACTACGGTAAATGTATCGTAGATGAATCTATAAACATGTAAAATATTCGTCCCTCTCTAAACTGCACGGCTTCCGAAACATCTGGCTATTCACCCTGAACCACTTGTTGCTCACTGAGAAAAATCAAGTAAAACATACAACTTTTACAGTACTATAAAATAAAAAACTAAACATTAAATGGGATGTAAAGTTTATTTTATTGTAAGAAAATTGCACATTCAATCCATTACTTAAGAAAAAGCCCAAATAACATCTTACTTTAGATAATGTAAACCTTGAGAAAGTTGTAAAATGTACTCTTTACTCTAGACAACTTAGGCCTTGAGAGAGTTACAAAATGTACCCTTTACTCTAGACAACTTAAGCCTTGAGAGAGTTACAAAATGTACCCTTTACTCTAGACAACTTAAGCCTTGAGAGAGTTACAAAATGTACCCTTTACTCTAGACAACTTAAGCCTTGAGAGAGTTACAAAGTGTACCCTTTACTCTAGACAACTTAGGCCTTGAGAGAGTTACAAAATGAACCCTTTACTCTAGACAACTTAAGCCTTGAGAGAGTTGCAAAATGTACCCTTTACTCTAGATAACTTAGGCCTTGAGAGAGTTGCAAAATGTACCCCGTTTATAATTGTATCTTAGGAGTAATAAAACATCCTTGCATCCTGGCTGGATTTTAAGACTGATAAAATATCTTTGTATCCTGTCTATATTTTAAGACTAATAAAACATCATTGTTAAAAGTTTTTAAAACAAAACTGTTATTTCTTCATTGTTCGCTAAATCTATATAAATATACTACTACTATCTATTGTCTGTCCATGTAACTACTTCGCTCTCTGTGGATGGATCTTCACCAAATTTGGTTTTGAGGTTCATTGGGTCCATGTGGAGATACAAGCAAATTTGCGGTTTCACATTTTGGGTTTTGTAGTTCTTATGGGTGTTTTTTTATATATAAGGGACCAAACTTTTCTTGTCCTAATATAACTTTTCATTAATCCTGATTTTACATAACTTCCGTCCAGGGGACGAGTACTCCAGCTAGTATATTATTATTCTTTTACTGTGCACTAAACGTATTATTGTTATTTCGTGATTGTTAACTAAACATATTATTATTATTTCTTTATTGTGCACTATATATATTATTATTTCTTTATTGTGCACTATATATTATTATTATTTCTTTATTGTATACCAACTATGTTACTGTTGTTTCATTACTATTAACGCCTCCTACATCGGAATGACTACCACAACCCTGTCAAGACGCCTAACAATGCACCTACAAATGGAGCCATCAAAGAACATTGTGACCGCATCCACAACCAAAAACTCACAAGTCAGGACCTAGTATAAAACACCAAAGTAAACCGCCGATTTTAAC